TGCTTTGTTGGTACTTGAGTATTCCTTGTGCTTATTTGTGAGTCTGCATTTATTGCATTTACTGCTCTGAGATTTGATTTTCGAAGAAGCTAATCATCCTTCCACGGCGCTTAAATTTTCCATTTGCTTAAAAACAGGACAGTTGGGAGGTGAGCAGGAGAAGGACAGTAGTTTTCTTAACTACTACTCTGGGCTGTTACCCGACCACCGTGGAAGGATCACTCGTTTCCGTTGCCTCCGATGAGCACCGCATTCCAAATCAACTCAGCAGAACCTTAGGGCAAAGGAAACGGGGCTTTTACATTCCATCAGCTACCTACGGCACCCACTGGGCACTTCCTTCGTTCAACCTTCTGAACTATGCGTTTCCCTGGTGCCCCTTAGAAACAGGTAAGGATGCACAATTTTCCACCTAGTCCACCTTCATTCCTTTCACTGTGTGCATGTGCGCACATTTATGTTGTCGCCTCCAAACCCAACCTTTTGGTCTAACCTGATTGACATTTCTGTCCTTAGCCAAATAAAAATCCCTTTGATCATTCCTTTGTTAGCAATTAGCTGGTTGATCTTTTTATTCCTTCACTTCGTCAGCATTCCACCATCCAAGCACCAACTCACTCATATCACTTAATTTCTTACCTCCGATAGTTGCCCTTCTCATGCCTTCCTTTGCCCTTCGTAGTGCGAACGTAGGTGTAGTGTTCAAGTACCGAGAAGGCATCATCGAGGAAGCAAAAGGTGTAGTACACCAAACTTATTTGAGACGCATTGATTTTGCAAAATTTTCACGCCAGATGGAGACAATTCGTCTGCCACGCTGACAGGATCGTAAGGAATATATGCTGATGCCGAATGAAGGGATTCGGCAAACAAGACGACTAGATCAAACGAAGGACTCAAAGGCGAATTCTACTTTCCAAAAGTGTGACAGTCTAAACCGAGTAGCTACTGTAATTGAACGGTCAATTGTAGAGGGTGGTCACCCTCGCGTGACCTCACAATCGATGGAAGACTAGGGCAAATTGTCGTCCATCCTCTGCATTCCATAGTTTGGATGAACTAAGGAGGAAAATGCAAAATCTTGCCCATTTCTGTAGGGCACTAGGTAAACAGACTGTCCCTAAGACGAAAAGGAAGTGGAAAATGAGGTAGAGAGTTTGACGGGAGGAACTTGAAACAACATGCTCAACCGCTCTTTCAAGCGAAGACAAGGGGAATTAGATGGAAGACAAACTGAGGCGGTGTGGCATGGAACAAACTGAAATGGCAAACGCAAAGAAGGAAATGTTAAAGAAGAATAACAGGACTACAAAAGACAAAGGCAAATCAAGGTAAGCTATTTCTTGCTGAAGCAAGATACAGCCATGCGTAGAGCATGGGCTTGTCTAGTCCGGCGTGAAGTGCGATGCTTGAATCCTTAAAACTTGTCCTAATTCTACTCGGTCCTCAATAGGGTATGGTAAAAGTGCATGTGAAAGATGAATAGCGGACAATAGTGAAGGAAGCATGATCAAAGAACAATCTAGGTCCTGTATTGGTGGATTTGCTTGTTAATGGCCTCCTGCGGTGGTCCAATTTGTCTTTAATGTTGATCTTCGAAGTAAGTACAGAGTGGATAGAGGCGGAATTGCTCTCTGCCTTACCAACAAACTCGTCTTAAGCGGTGATTAACTTAAGCGTTTTTACTAATAGTCAAACACAGTTAGGCTAGGTCTTGTCACCTTCCTTAAGGGAACTCGGATACAATGTAATTGCTTGTGTAGGGTTTGCGCCCCCTCTAATCAAGCGGGTAGTTAGGAGGTTACCTGTAAAACAGCACCTTTGTATGATTGCTGTCCAAATGTTGCGCACTTTGTGACACAAATCACCTAATTAATCACATATTTATCGATGTCAAGGTGGAAACACCCTTTATAAGCGGAAGCGGGGGACCACTAATCTCACTCCAATCTGTAGGCAAGTAGAACAGTAGGTCTCAACAGCAGGCATCCATTGATTGCAGAAAATTATCTCTTCAAAGGCATGCAACTCCTTCTATACTTTCTGGCTGTTCTATCCTATGTATACGCGAACCCATCGATAGAGACGATGAAGGCTAGTCTGATCGAGTTGCTTACTTCCACCCGTAGCAGATTCAAATCTCCAAGTGGAAAATTAGCACCTTTTGTGAGTATAATATTTGGCGTTGTGACGCATCCAACTAATTTTACTATTTGTCTTCCCTTTTCCACTTTTTTGGTTTTATTGCTGGCAGCGGGACCCTAACCACTAACACGTCAATTCACATGTTCCGTCTCCTCATTTCGGCAAACAACACTTAAAACGACTGTGGCGTTGCAGTAACCACTTAATGAGTTTTCTCCCCTAATTTTGAATTAGGAATATTCCAAGGATGTGGAGAACCTCGCAGTCGAATGGGCAAATACTTGCAACAGGTCTATGCCGAGTGATCCCAGATTCGCCAATATGCAAGGTTATGCTGGCAAATGCCCCACATATTGGCCACTGGTGCGTGAGTGGACGACCCGTCTCTTGGCTGAGGAGAAGGCCTACGACCCAGCTACAGGGAAATGCTCCACCTCCAGCTGTAAGCATTATATGCAGGTATATCCACACTTTACAGGTTGTGAGCTCTCCTAAATGCCAACAACCTTATGTCGCCTTCCGCTTCGCCTACTTTATATAGGTGACACAGCCAAATAACACCAAATTTGGCTGTGCGATTAAAGTTTGCCACGTGAAAAATCCAAATCTGAAATCCTTTCTCCTCTCCGTGTGTCTATACCAGGCTGAGTGAGTTAATTGTTGCGCTGATCAGCACACTGTAGCGCATACACATCTAGAAGGTCATAATGAGGAGGTAAAATTTATTCTCCCTCTTCCAGAAAACAAAGTATTCCCATTCTTCAGACAACCGGCAGTGTAACCACCACTGACACAAGCAGGACAGCCACAACTGCTACAAGCACCACCACAACCGCGACGCCGACCACTACCACCACCACCACTGCTACCACTCCCAACGCGACGACAACAACGGAAGGAAGCACTACTGGGACGGTGAAGTTAAGCGTGAGCTCAGAGCCGCCTCCCACCGACCTAGGCACTGAAATGGAAGAAGCCGAAGAGGAAGAAGACATAGAGGAAGAAGACGAGGAGGTGGAAGATGGAGAAGATAAAGCAGCAAAGACCTCCAATTCGCCAAATCTCTCTTCACATCTACTTCCCCTTGCGATGATTGCAATTACTCTCCTTGTCTGAGGTGCACCTGGGTCCCCTCTTAACTCAAAATACCATTAGTTATCTCCTAGGTTACTAGCAAATAGAGCCACTTCCTCATACCCCTATTTCGAAATAGATTACAGAATAGTACATCAGCGTCAAGTTCCAGGCTCTGCTTTTGACGGATGTTGATTTGTTGTCGGTTTCACTTTGAATTTATTCTTATGTTTCTTTACTTACTTGCCTGTTTGTGCATTTGTTTTCCCCTCTGGGATATTATCGAAACAAAACTTTCTAAGATCTTTTTGAGGTAGAAAAATGAAAAAAGATGCCACCAAGGTGGTAATCTAGAATCTGTGAAGAGTGAAGGTAGCTTACATTTAACTCGCGACTACTTTAATGCCCTCCGTCAATTGATTTCCGATGTGGTTGTCACCCACAGACCCCACATTCGACGGTTGAAGAGTAGTTTCGCATTCAGGCGAGGAGAAGTTTAACCCCTGTCCCCTCTGTGGACAAGGATCTTTATGTAACCAACTTTTTTGAGGCGGATAAATTTCTCCATCCTATAGACGGATAGAAGGTTCTTGCAATTCCTACATATCCAAAGATCAGGTTCTTTGTCATAACATTTTTGCTTTTCCAGACTGAATATTTTATGGCAGCCACTTCGATCATTGCACGTCTCACCAGAAGGGTGTCAGTTGGTAAGCCTGCTTTGACCTCCTGCCTAGATGACCGATAGGGTTAGGTATGAAGCTTGTAGATTCGCAGCACGCATGCAGGAAAACAACAGTCAGAGATGCTTCCGTGGATGTGGGAGTAATTTTAATCGCTGAGTAGATTATTTGATCCTTTACAAATAAGCAAACGCTACATTCAAGCAGCTGCACTTCAATGACTGCAAAAGTGGTTATCATAGCAGCTCAGCAACGAAAGGCTAGTTAACGAATGAGGGCGATGAATTAACCAGGCTTGAGGGTGCTGCGTGCAGAGCCAGTCGCCGAGGCTGCAGTTGCAAAGCCGTGACAGCCGTACGGTCTTCTCACACAATTGTCTTTTCCGTGGCAAAACCACGTGCGCCAGTCTGGAACTGTGATGTGGGAGACACATCGCCACCCGGTGGAAGGGAAATTTGGTAAAGCGATGGATTTTACCAACGGGGATCGCATTTGTGGGGTGGACACAAAGTTGCAAGCAGTAACACGAGGGAGACTTTAAATGACGGTAATTTTACCAATCTACTGACATTTACGAGGGTAGAAGAGCGCGGAAGAGGCGTAGGGTACTCCGACGCCCAACTCATTAATGGTTACAGATTTTTGACCTATTATTTGTTTTATTGAATCTAACAGTGATTTGCTCTTTTTTGAAGCCCAAATCAACGGCCCGATTACCACAACTTTGTACAGTCACTCATGAAGGGCGGATTTGTAACGCAGTCCACGTGTCTGGATGGAATAGGGCATGTGGAAATCAGTCAAACCTCGTTAAGGTCCACCCTCCTCCTTTACCACTGTAACCTTAATGCCAATGCCTAAGCAGAGATAGGAAATTTCCAACCACTATTCCACAGCTCACCCACACTCCAGCCATCGCAAACGATCTCCCCGATTCGATGACGACTTTGGACAAGATAATGGCTTTTTTGGCCTCAAGAAAGTCAATTTAAGCTCTCCTTAGACGCCTTTCTGACTGCTAAGGTCAATTTTTCCAAGGGTCTCTTCATCGACTACATAGACGACTCATAGTCATCACAGCTCGGGTTGCCAAAAACTCTCTCCCCATTTTGGATTTGCACCAGTAGAAATTTTCGTCAGTGAGGCCCTCACTGCTTGGCGTTTAAATCGACAAAGCAGTGAGGGAGGTGAGTGCCTGTCTGCTCGGCCATGAAGTCGTAGAGCAACCCTCGTGTTTATGCCTTGAATTGCCGTGAGATGGTCGAACCGACTGATAGACTCTCGCTTTTGGGAATTGAGGGCTCAAGTCAGCCAGTGTGCCTGTTTTGGACAAAGAGTAGGGTCAAAAGCAATTTTTCTGTCCAATCTTTTTGTTTTTATACACCTTAATCATAACCATTCGCCTCCGGCACCTTTTCTTCACCCTATTCACCTAATCCCTTCTTTTAGCATTCTCTATTCGCATCTACTAATTAGATATAAGTAGCATTTACTATCAGCCTCTGTTTTCCACTTTAGTGAGACCGTGCAAGTGGATATTTTGCTAAACCTTTTGAAATAAATTGCCTTAGTGATCTAAATTGCTTACGCATTCATGGAAGCATCCGCTACAGCTGCTTTTCTACATGCCCGCGAAGAGCACATAGCCACCACGCCTAACTTCATCAGTTACCCAGGCAGGAGGTCAGCTCAAATTAGGCTGCTGACAGAAGGTTGACATGAATAAAAGAGCTCAACCTTTACAATGCAACAGGTAGGTAACCCCTTTTTGATTTTGAATGATGAAGAAATTCTCCGTGCTTCAAAAAGTGGTGGTCACATGCCAAATGTGTTCCCCCAAATGTAAGACCATGCTTCTACCGTCAACGTGAGCGGCCGTGGGTACCAACCAAGTCAAAAACCATAGGACAGACAGAGTGCATCGAGTAAATAGCATGAAAAGAGAAAACGCTCTTCACTCTTCACAGATTTTACACTACTAACAAGAAATTAGATTGGGCAGTTACGATAATTCCTTAGAAGAGAATAACTAACGGACAAATAGACTAGCAACTGAAGAAACGTGCAATTTAAGGCAAGGCGGAACCGGTAAGATCTCAACACCCATAAAAAGGGGAACCTCGAAAAGACGCTGGTTAACTGCTAAGCAATTTAATTAGAAAAAGAGGCACAAGTTAGTCACTCTATTTGAAGGGGGCCGAAGACTGAGCCGATCACATCTTAAGGAAAGGGGGGACCCCGGTTCACCTCAAATAAGGAGAGCTATTGCAATCGCCCCAAAGGAAAGAAGATGTGGCGAGAGTTTTGCCGCATCTGAGATCTTTTTCGCTCTATATTCCTCTTCATCCACCTCTTTCTCTACTATCTGCACATCTTCTTTGTCTTCGGCTTCTTCCATTTCGGTGCCATTGTTGGTAGGAGGCGACTCTGTGCTCGTGCTTAACTTCACTATCTCAGTAGTGCTTCCTTTCGGTGTTGTCAATGTTGTCGTCGGCGTTGTCGAGTCGGAAGTGGTAGTAGCGGTTGTGGTGGTGGTTGTGGTTGGCCTATTTGTGGTACTGATAGTGGAAAAGATAGTTGGCTTGCTTGTGGTGGTGGTAGTAGTAGCAGCAGTTGTTGGTGTTCTTGTGGTAGTGCTGGTGGTTGGCGTCGTGGTTGTGATGGTGCTTGTGGCGGCGGTGGTTGGTCTCCTTGTGGTGGTGGTGGTGGTAGGGATTGTGGTTGACCTTCTTGTGGTGGTGGTTGTGACGGTGCTTGTAGCAGTTGTGGTTGGCCTATTTGTGGTAGTGGTGGTGTTAGTAGCAACGGTGGTTGGCCTTCTTGTGGTAGTTGAGGTTGTGGTTGGCTTTCTTGTGGTACTAATAGTAGTAGCAGCGGTGGTGGTTGTGGTTGGCGTCCTGGTTGTGGTGGTGGTGGTGGTGGTGGTGGTTGGCCTCCTTGTGGTAGTGACGGTTACACTGCTGGTTGTCCGTTGAATGGGAACACTTTGTTTTCTAGAAGAGAGAGAACAAATTTTACGCTTTCTTATGAATCTTTAGATGTGTATGTGCCGTAGTGTGTTGAGCAAAGCGACAATTAACTCACTCAGCCTGGTATAGACACACGGAGAGGTGGTAAAACATTGGTCTGGGCATCCCCATAAAACAAAGTCTGACTGCGCAGCCAAACTTTGTAGTAGCTGGTTGTACTATCTATATAAAGAAAGCGCAGTGGAAGGACACTCGCGGTTAATAGCATTTGGAATTGCTTACAATCTTTGAAGTGAGGATGTACCTTTACATAATGCATACAGTTGGAGATAGAGCATTCCCCTGTAACTGGATCGTAGGCCATCTCCTCCACGAACAGGCGGGTCGCCCACCCATAAACCAACGACCTGGTTATGGGGAATGCAATCGCACTGCTTCCAAGATTGGCGAATCTGCAATCGTTTGGACCAGACATACTGCAAGTGTCCACCCACACACGTGCTAGATTCTCCAACTCCATGGAATATTTCTAGTTTAAAAGTGGAGAAGAGAGCTCATTAAGTAGTTGCTGCAATTCCACTGCCATTTTTTAGTGTTATTTCCCAAACGGCGGCTAAAATGTGAATTGACATGTTGGCAGCTTGTGAGGCGCTGACAGCTGTGAAGCCGAAAACGAAAAGGTATGGAGAGGTGGCAAGTAGCAGAGACGAGTTACAACTCGGAACGCCGCACTTACCATAGGAGCTAATCTTCTGCCTTGGAATCTAAAACTTTCGCGGACAAATCTATGCACCACAATCAAACCAGCCTCCATGTCTTCTATCTTCTCGGTAGCGTATGCATAGCACAGAAGAGCCAAGAGGTACACAAGGCGTGGCATGTCTTTGAGGAGGCAAAACTCCACAATAAATGGCTGACTGATTTTGGGACCTACTGCTCTGGATGCCTTGAGATTGGGGCAAAATTAAAACACCCACTATTGCGCTTTTATAGGATATTTACACATAGACGTCAGTAAATGTGTGATCAACCACCTCATTTGTGTCACGAAGTGCGCAACACTTTGAAAGCTATCAAACAAAAGTGCTATTTGACAGACTCACTTACACCCTTCCTTGTATGTACTCTCTCAAGTCAAAGGGGCGTAAATTTTGCACACATGAATACATTGTATCCAAATCTTCCCTAGAAAGAGTAGAACATGCAGGTCCACTTCTTAAGGTTGACAAAACAAGTTGCCTCCTCTTGACAGCAAAAATATTGCAGAGGCGACGGTCATTTCTTTCACCTATTTGCCG